GCCTCTTTGCCGGGTAGATACCCTGCTTCTGGGTCTCTGAAACAGGCATACAGAGGGAGCGAGGGTTAACACATCTGCCAATATCCATGCCACTTCAATAACATTGTTTTGTGTAATAAAGCAGGTCATGGGTAGACCAGTATTTCCTTTATACAGTTCCAAATTAAGGACTAATTTATATTCCTTACTATATTTCATACTCTATGTATAGTAAACTAGATTCTAATAATGACTTTTCCATTATTTAAATTTCACTCTTGGGGCGCCTGTGTGGCTCAGTGGGTTAAAGCCTCTGCCTTCGGCTCAGGTCATGATCCCAGGGTCCTGGGATCGAGCCCCACATTGGGCTCTCTGCTCAGCGGAGAGCCTGCTTCCTCCTCTCTCTGCCTGCCTCTCCGCCTACTTGTGATCTCTGTCAAATAAATAAAATCTTAAAAAATAAATAAATAAATAAATAAATAAATTTCACTCTTTATTTTTAGGTTTTCTTTTTCCTGCTGGTCTTAGGAATGGGAAATAAGCTTTATGAGAGCTTGGAAGTCAGATTATGATTTAAAGTATAAACATGTTATTTTCCTCTATATTATAAATGCAGTCTGTACAGTATACAGGCTTCTCCTGTATTTCCCATTTACCATCCAGACAGAAAATGTTAAACAGGCTGGATGTATAAAAAGGCACATAAGCTAAAACTATATTTGCTTTTTAAAACAAATACTTAGTTAAGTTCTATTTTAAAGTACTATGATCTGCTCAGGGTGCTCAGGGTGCAGGAAGCCTAAGAGCCTGTGGCTCCCACCCTAATGACAAAAAAGTCAAATAATACAAAAATCCTAACTTTTTTGCAAGCAAAATGCCAAATTCTGAAGAGTGACAGTTTCCTCTACAGGGAGATGAGACCATGCATTGTTTCACCTTTCACAGAACAAGGAAAAGTGGCTGCCAAAAAAGCAAATAAAAGAAATGAGCTAAAATGTTTTAAAGAATGTATGTATTCATTTCGAGAGAGAGAGAGAGAGCACAAGCAGAGGAAGGAGCAAACTCCCTGCTCAGCAAGGAGCCCGATGTGGGGCTTGATCCCAGGACCCTAAGATCATGACCTGAGCCAAAGGCAGATCAACCAACTGAGCCACCCAGGCGCCTGCGAAAGAGCTAAATTTTTAATTAATTTAATTTTCATTAATTTTTAGAAGCTAAGTATGTACCAACATGCAAAGTTGGCATAAGAGATCCGTGAACATAAGGGGGGGGGGCGTTGGCGTTGTACTCACTTGCAAACTGTTTTCCAAGGGCCCTCATAAGATGACCTAGGGACAGGGCTGGAGACAGGAGAGAAATCCCCTTCTAGTGCAGGGTTATAGGGAACAAGCAGCTGAGGCTGGGGCACCCGGCAATTCCACAGGCCCATCTCTCATATAAAGCAAGAGCCTTAAGCCACAGAAAGAGGGGTAGGAAGTATCCCAGTCCCTATGGGTCAGGATAAGTCCACTGCTTCTGGGGAACAAGTATAAGCAAAAACCCACTCCGTGTGGAGGAGGAACAGGAGTTCTCTTGGAGTGGACACCCTGCACGGAGCAGAGGTCTATTACTGGTTGGGAGAGGCAGGGAACTCTGACACCAAGACATGCCACAAGTATGGTGTAGTGAACAAGTGCCATGGGAAGGACGGGGAGCAAAGTGAGAGAGCCTCAGCCCATGTCCCAGGCATGCAGGCTAGACAAGGAGAACAGAGAGCCACCCACCCACATTGCTGCATCTCCGCTGCAGGAGGAGAGCCAAGCAGTGAGCAAGCAAGTGCATTCGGCCCTGATGGGGGCCGGCTAAGAGAATGAAGAGCTCCCAGGGTCTGCAGAGAGACCCAGCAGGGAAGCCAGACCAGACACTGCCCAGATGCTGGGACATCAGAAGGACTTTGATACAGCTCTGCTTAGTACTTTACAGAATCTAGCAGAAAGTAAAAAACATGCTTGAAGTGATGGGAAGTTCAATAAAGTGGTGGAAACTGTAAGAATGAACCAAATGGAAATGGAAGGCTTGTTTTGTTTTTTGTTTTTTTAAGGTGTAAAGATGAAGAATTCCTTTAATGAGCACATCCACAGGCTAACAGATGTATCTGTGAACTTGAAAACAAGGCAACAGCAATTATCTAAAGGAAAGCACCAAGAGAAGAGAGGGCAAGGAGAAGAGGAAGAAGACGAGAACAGAGAGCATCCAAAAGTGTGGAGAAAAATGAATTTTAATTGGAGTCCCAGAATGAGAAGAAAGAGAATCTAGGTTATAAGAAACACTTGAAAAGATAATGTCTAAGGATATCCTAGAGATTGAGACAATCTAAAAATCCAAAAACAAAAAACACAGATTCAAGGAAGTCAAAAAAACCACAGCAAGAACAGAAGCAGGATAAAAGGAATGTATATTTGCTGCAAAAAAATCTAAGAAATTCAGATGACCCAAAATAAGAAAAATCAAAATACTCACAGCCTTGTAAGACAAAGTAGTTAACATATAATTATACTGATTCCAATCTTCTCTATCTTTTTATAAGCTTTAAAGAAAAGTTTTGATAGGAAATCAATTTTAAAAATCAAAGTAAACTCCTCTGAGGAAACACCTTTTGTTTGTTTCTAATTCTTTGGCCTAAGAATTCCAACATCCTCAAAAGCTTAGATTTTAGGATCAGGGGAAGTTGAAAGAATAATCCTATTTCCACTGGTCTGGGTGTTAGGTGATAGTCTTAATATTCCTGTATATTTATTCAGTGTCAAAAACTAAATTTTCAACAGCTCTTCTAACTACAACAATATCAATGCATTCTGAGCATTGGATTATGAAATATATCTATATAATTTCATTATAAAATGTTTCGAGGAACAATTTCAGGATTTAGGTTATTATATTAATTTATAATTAACTAATAATATATTAGACTTAGCTCAAGCTGCTAAGGGAAAACTTGAATACTTAATGGCCATTCCATCCTCTCTTCAGTATAGAAAATCTTGATTTATAGTTATTCTCAATTTCTACCTTCTTTCCTGGCCCTTAGTTATTCAATTGAATTTGTATGTTTATTCTTTAGAATACAACCTAGCTTTGGGAAAACTTGTTTAGAACGAAGGATGTTTATCTTATACTTTCTAGTGTCAGCTGAAACCCAACTGGCTTCAGTTTGCAAACTATTGACCTCTAAATGTTTATATGAGCAATTCAGATGATGCTCATCATTACTTTACTCTTGATTTTTTGAAGTTTTTTTATCAAAGGATTTTATTTTTTTATTTGCTAGAGAGAAAGATAGAACAAGCAGGGGGAGGATAAGGTAAGGGAGAAGCAAACTTCCTGCTGAGCAGAGAACCCATTTCAGGGCTCGATCCCCGGACCCTGAGATCAGGACCTGAGCCGAAGGCAGAGGCTTAACCCACTGAGCCACCCAGGTGCCTCACCTATCATATTTAAAAATAAAACCAATGTATGTAAAAACAAAGAATGCAGATGGGTTTAAATAAATGTTAATAAGAACAATTCATAGACTATATGTAATTTTAAAGTCTATTTATAAATGAATTTTAACATGAATACAATATGCAGAATTGGCTTGGTAGATCTAAAATGCTACTGCAGCTGGATTTTGGTTCTAGAACTTGAGAGGAACCCACTGCTCAGTCTCTCTACCTCCCTGTGATTAACATACTATCTTGCCTGTGGCCCAAAGAGCTATTAAATTTAAGTTGGTGAATAACATGCTTAATAACTATGGCTCTTTTATAATTAAGTTGCTATTAAATCACAGTTCCATTGTTGCTAAAATAGCAGCAGTGAAATTTTGTTCAAAAACAGATTTAAATTCAGAACAGATTCCATTAAGAATGTATGGGTTTTAAAAAATAAATGGGTAGGTCGGGGGCACCTGGGTGGCTCAGTGGGTTAAGCGACTGCCTTCAGCTCGGGTGATGATCTCAGGGTCCTGGGATCGAGTCCCGCATCGGGCTCTCTGCTCGGCAGGGAGCCTGCTTCCCTCTCTCTCTCTCTCTGCCTGCCTCTCCGTCTACTTGCGATCTCTCTCTGTCAAATAAATAAATAAAATCTTTAAAATAATAAAAATAAATAAATAAATGGGTAGGTAGATATTTGCTAAATACATAAATGCAGCCACATATGGATATATATGTAAACTAGTATGTGCATCTATTTATTTCATGCTCTTCAGTATATATAGAGAGAAAGAAAAGCTAAAATCTGAAATTATGGATTTGGGTACATACATATACACAAATACCAATAAATATTTAGCAGACATATGTGAGACTATATATCACCGATATTGTTTGAGAAAGAATGCATTTCAATTTAAATGAGAATTGCATTCCTAGAGGTTGGTGGAACCAGCAAAGCTGAAAGTTAGAATGACAAAGCTGTAAGCTGTTCTAAAATGATTTCCAGGGGAGAATTTCATAGCAGTGTTTTGCTGAGAATTCTTTATTTTTAGGATTCATAACTCAAATATTCAAATTTACCAGGATGGAATAAATAGAAAGTATGGACTGAAGTGGAAGGGGTTATCGCCTTTTGCCCCACACTCCCAAGTCAAGGGTAAAAAAGATAGTAATTTTTTGTTGATTCAACCTTGAGGAAACCTAGATGTATTCTTAAAATTCATGCCTGCTGACATCATCACGGGCAAACTGATAGATGAAGAAGGAATCTGTGCTCTCCACCTTCCAACAGCATGGTATGGGAGCAGGCATGGAGGTCATCTCTGTACACTGCCCCTTGCTCCTAATGGATGTTCTGACCTCCAAAGTCCCTCCCTCCCACCTGGGCCTGGAGACATCTAGGCTTGAATACCCTAGGTATGGTCTCTGATTTTTTTTGCTTACACTACACTTTCAACCACAATTTGGTGGGTTTTAACCTTTTAGTACTTACAGCCTTAAACCAGGATCCTCTGTAGGGCAATACTGTCACCAGGGAGCTGTTACAGATAATCAAAAAGGACTTACTTAAAAAGTTCATTTCTGTCGATGGCTCGGTTGGTCTGGGGGTCGATGGCGTAGACAGTCAGGTCACATTTGGTGTAATCTTCCAGAGAAAAGGCATCCCCATGCCTTCGAGCACCAATGGACTCCACCACCACCTTGGCACCGGGAATTTGCTCCTGAACATAGCGATCCAAAATCCTATAAATCAAAGTACAAACATGACATTCTGACAGGCTTTCTGGGGGAAAAAAATCATTCTCAACTTGAAATGACATTTAGTAAATGAAAAATGATGACAGCCTGGTTTTTGCTAATGTTTACTGAATAAGAACGCTTGAAAAAAAAATTCTCTGTATTTTTTCAGCATTTAATTCCCAATGATGCTAGAAACTGAATAAGGTAGAACAAGGTCATCAGCCATGTCCTGTTTAAGTCTAGACTTTTGGAATTTATGATACCCTTTGAGCTCTAGGGGTGTCATCGGAATTGCCAACTATGTTGTACACATAAACCTGTGCATGGTTTACAGGAGTCAAGGGTCTTAGAACCCTTGTGTTCACATGGTTGGTGTTATAAACTGTATGTGCCACCAGATTCTGTGATACGTTGTGCATAGCTGTGTACCAAACTCCAGGACTAGGCTACCTGTTTCCCTCAGAGCATAAAGACTCAGAGCGTTACAGCAATGAAAATAGGTAGAGATGTTTTGGAATGGCAGGTTTACCAACTTAAGAAAAATACTGCATGCAAATCTCAGAAGCTATTTAGGTGAATACAAACAACAAAAAGATCTGTCATTTGGTCTAGAATCAACAATCATCAATAGAAAAGACAAATAATGTTAACCTACAGGTAACTTCTGGAAAATACAATTTTTTCTAATTGCATAATTTGATTTTAATCAAAAGCACACATTATTGCCATATGTCTGTGGTCTCTATTGCCACAAATGACAATTTCCTTAATGTCTTTTCCTTATTAAAAACTTGACATTATTAATCCCCATGGGTTAATATCAGAATGTATATTATTAAATATTTATAGACAGTCAAATGTAAATGAATTGATTTTAATAACTAGACATAGCAAATGCTTTTAAATTTTTCTATAGATTCGACCACCATTTGGAGTCCATGTGGTGGCAAAGTCTGCTTTGTCTGTTGGCTTTCATCTTTCTGTGTTTGTCTGTTTGCTTTTAAATGTGTCTGGCGCAGCGCAGTCAATGTCCCTCTTATTATTGTCCCTCGTACTATTCATCCTCGTCTTTTTCTTACCAGCTCACACCCACTGGTCTGTCTGCCCAACAGTATCTCTTCTGATGAGATCCTTGCTGAGGAATAAGGATGAGAAGAATGTATTCTCCTCAGAACCTGAAGAGAATGGCTGCTCAAGGAGATACACACTGTGGAACAGTGTTCAGCCTATGGATTCCTTTCTTGAGACAATTATGCTCCCTAACCAAAAAAAAAAAAAAAAGGAGAGAAAGGGAAAGGGAAAGAAAAGGAAGGAAGGGAGGAGGAAAGAGAAAAAAAAGGAAGGAAGGAAGGAAGGCTGGCCTTGGAGTCAAACTACATTGTACTCTGGACAGTTGGTACAGGTATGAATGGGAAGAACATCGTGGTAAAGACCTCAGATATCTGGCTTTCGTTTTCAGCTCCTTTACTTACAAAGTGCAAAATCTTAGATCAGTAAGAAGCCATCAAAGGCTCAGACTCCTCAACCACAATGAGGCAATCATTAGCCACATGGGACAATTGTGTACATTACAGGCACGAACGCTTATAGCCAAATCTCTGCACAGTTCTGAGCACATAGTTGCTGTTCCATAAAATGTGATTATGCTTATTATTAATTTGGCTAAAAAGTCTGCATTAATAAACTTCTCCCCTGCTTCTAATTCATTCAAGATATTTAATGAATTTGTGGCATTATTAAGAAAGCTTATTTCTCACTAGTAATATTAGCTCACATATAAAAAATCGAATGAGTACGTTGTTAAATATATTGCAGAAGGTGGCTATCTGTCCCAATACTGCACTTGAATAATTTATAACTGCTGCTTTTCCATTTACACATTGATTAAGTATGTCCCAAGGAAATCACTTATATATGCATAAACAATGTTTTTCTACAATGAGGAAACTTGTCTGCTGAGATTGTGTCTTTTCCTATATTTGGGGGCAATATTGCAGAATCATGGGTGACTTAAACTTTAAATGTAGAATGAAATACAACTGTACTAACTCCTTGATCACATCAGGGAATCACACACCAATGAAGTCCAAAAATGAATTATGTCATTTAAGGCCTGTAACGATGTCTTCTCCCTGAATTCTTTTCTCTTAAAACTTTGCAGGTCTTCTGGAATTAAATATCTCTTCTGATACAGAAAGAGGTGTCCAAACTTGAACTCTTTCCCCACCTTTTCTAATAAATAAATGTTAAACTAAATTTAAACCTTTTTAAATGAGAGCACATTTTATAAAAATCTGTCTTTCCACTTGTGATCTATATCTGGATACCTAAGCACGTCTACCTTATTACCTACATACATGAATATATTACATACATGTACATATATGTGCTATTCAAGAATGGCTCTTCAGCCCTTGATCTTCAAATGTACATGGGTACATTGTTACTTAACAGAGGTTTCCCGAGTTCCTAACTTTCTAGTCACTTACTTTGAACTGACTCCTAAGAATTCGTACCAGTGTTTAAACTGCCTCCATCTTTACCTTTTGCTTTAAATTATTAACATGCCGAGCCAATTCATACATACAGCTTGGAATCAAATGTCATGAGAATTTACATGTAAATTAAGAACAGCATGTCTCTCCAGCCTGTCAGCCTAAATTATTTGTACACTACTAGTATATCGACACACATGTATACAGAGACAGAGAGACCCTCAACATTGCTTATCTGTAATATCTGTATCATGCATTTCTCCCTGTATCAAGGGAGAGCTCTGCAATGACACTGATAGAGTTTGCCATAAGAAGTTCATGGAAGGAGGGAGGAGGGGCAAGATGGTGGAGAAGTCGGAGACCCTGTTTCAACCGTTCCCCTAAAATGAGCTAAATATCTACCAGAAAACTCTGAACACCCATGAAATCAGCCTGAGATGTAGGATTATACACTTCTGGAGGCAGTGTAGGATTATACACTTCTACAGGGGCAGAAGACTCCAGTAGAGAGGTAAAGCGAAGTGGGAACAAGAGGACTGATATCGAAGGATAAACAGAAGGGGGAGGGAGCCACTAGAAGCAACCCACTGGGAAGTAATACGCCAATACGAAAGTGCCCTGTGATTGGGGACCAGCATTAACTTGGAGTCAAAAAGAGCAAACAATCTTAAGGGGCAACTGGTAGAATTGGGGGGGACGGGCCTAAGCCCAGGGACCCAGAATGGCCCCTGCCCAGCAGCCACCCATGCCAGAGAGTGTGTGATGGAGCCTCTGTGGTTCCTGATCTCTAGGCTTTGCACGGCCTGCACCAGTGCTGGGCTAGGCACACTCCCACCATCGCGCAAGGAAGTCTTGTATGGATGCCAGCCAATGCTCTTTAAGACCATAGCCATCTGCCACCAACAGAGGGTCTCGACACTCCTAGCCCGAGCCTGGGAGAACCCAGGGATCTCCATTTAGGATCCCTCAGCAGCAGCCTTCTGCTACCTGCGCAACTGTGGGGTCTGAGTGCACCCTGCCTGGACCCCAGATCGCAGTCCCGGCAAAGGCAGCCATAGGAAGTGGGCTCCCTGAACCAGTATTGCTTGCAGTTTTAGTGGCACAGGGGTGCAGAGACAAGCAGGTGCTTTGGGCGACCCCTGAGGCAGTGACTGGGGACATGCTCTGCCTGTGGGAGGTTGCACAGCTCAGCGGAGTTTGCAGAGGTGGAGTTTGTGTGTTCTGGACCACCCAGAGGAGAGCAGACTGAGGCTTCTCTCTGAGACAGAGTTCTGGGTGCAGTTTGCTTTTCACTAAACCTCAGAAAAGCCACAAAAAGCCGCGGAAGAATGAAAACCTCCAGAGAACAAAAGTCTGAAAAACCTGTTTCCATAGAGCCCAGCACCTTGATAGGGGGCAGGACGACTCAACCCAAGCAAGACTGACTGAAAAACAATATGGCAGGCCCCTCCCCCAGAAAGGCAGCCAAAAGAAAGGACAACCACCACAGGGTCCCCATAAAACTGTAAAACCCCAACATCAGGGGAAAACAATATATTGAGCTCCCGGTATTGCTCTAAAACCTGTATATTTCATAGATACAACTTTAAAAAAAAATTATTCTCACGATTCTTGTTCTTTTAATTTCTTTAAACTTCTTACCATTACAGCTAGAGATTTAATACAACATATTCCATAATAACCTTTTAACTTGAACTTTTTTCATATATATACCTGTGTTCTTTTTGTTTTCTTTTTTCTTTTTTAAATATACATATAGATATAAGCTTCAAGGTAATCCTCTTTCCCTAATCAATACTACCCCTATATATAAACCAGTTTTAATCTCTATGTATCTCTGGAAAGTTGAGTCCTTTAACAAAGATATAAAGATACACCAGGAAGAACCAAAATAACCTTCTTCACCCAAAAGGATGATTTATAACCACCCTCCCATCTTATTCTTCTGTCAATGTTTCTGTGTATTTGTTTTTGTTCTGGTATTATATAAATCTTATACTCATTTTGGCTTTTTTTTGGTCATTTACTTTTGTAGGTCTTTTTGTTTGTCCGTTTTTGTTTATATATGTTATAAATCTTACTTTTGGTGCTCATGCTGGGTGGGTTTTCTTTTTCTCACTCTCTTTCTCTCTCTCTCTCTCTCTTTTTTTTTTTTTTTACTTTTTCTTGCTTTTTGGTGACTTCCAATTGCTCCAAAGCCTTCCAGGGTACATCTTGCCTGGATTGTGGTTGGTATATTCACCTATACATCCCCTCAACCACCTCTCACCAAGGAGGAGGTGGAGGAACACCAACAGAGGGAAAATTCAGAGACTGTGCCCTCTCCATCAGAGCTATTGGATATGGACATAAGTATGTAGGAAAGGGAATTCAGGATAACAATTATCCAGGCAATGGCCAGGTTGCAGAAAACCATTAGTGGCAACATAGAATCTCTAAGGGCAGAAGTGAGAGGTGACCTGGAAGAAGTTAAAAATGCTATCAATGAGATCCACTCTAATCTAAATA